ACATTATCGTTGAAAAATCAAATCTTCAAGGAACTCATTGAAATTGAAAATCATTTAGTTATCTAACTATAATTTGAAAACCAATGAGATGTCTACATTTTCAAGTTGAGTGAATTTTTACAAAGATGACCAATGAATGGTGACTTAGAAATGGATAATTCGGAACATAAAGTTTATGTGGGTATTGTTCAAGACAAAGTGAGTAGTTACTAACTAGTTCAATCCACCATGACGTGTATCAAAGAATGGAACCCACGGTTCTAATAAATGCTTTAGTGTTCCGAGTAACTATCATGATGTCATTTTCCAAACTGAAATAAGTGTATATCTCAATATATTACGGTTCAATCCATGATGACATATAGCTGGATCCCCCCTCAAGTGATAAGATGGAATTGTTTTTGGTGGCTATATACACGGACAATTATCTAGCATACTCCATGGTATCACACATATTATTGAAGTTTTTATTATAAGAGAAATGTTAAATAAACTCTCTCAAAGTGAGATTTTCTGTCACTCCATGGTATAGCATACTAGATGGTTGCCTAGGCGCTAGCTATCATTGTGCTGATGCAATTAGGTCTGAAACGTTAAGGAAAATCAAAGAGCTATTAGGCGCCCGCCTAGACTCTCCTAGGCGGCTTGGGTTGTCTAGACGGAATGAAATGGTTTTCTGAAAAGAAAGTCCAAACATAACCCAGAATCGCAAAAGCTTTCTCACCGCTTCAACTCCCTGTGTCTATGCACCATGACTTTCTCACTACTCCCGCTCTTTGAAATCCATTGGTAATTAGATGTCTCAAATTCCAAGTTTTTTTTAAATTCTAAATTTCTATGTTTATGAATTCAAACAAGAGAATTGATGCATGTTAATTGACAAATTCTAACTTTTATTCAAATTTCAAATTTACTTTTCCTATCCAAACAAAAGAAGAGGAAACCAAAAACAAGAAGAAGGAGAATTTACAAAGGGAAAAAAAGAAAAAAAAGAAGAGGAGGAAACGAATAGACGACGAAGACGATGAGGAAAAGGAAATAACTTAAAAAAAAAAAAAGGGTTTTCGGTTTTCAAGGCGTCAAAATGGTCCCCTTCCTTTGGGGAGTGTCTTGGGTGATGTGAGTGTTGGGGTGGAGGGGAGGGGTCATTCATGTGGGGTTTTATGAAATGGAAAATGATGCATGCATCTCTATCTCTTTAGAATTTTACCTTTATTATGAACCACCTAACCCATTACCTGCAACCTAAACCACTACCTAAGATTTTTATTAATCATTCATTTTATTTTGTCATACGATAGATTTTGTTAAATTAGATGTTAGATTAGCTAACGACTAGGTTTGAATCCACACTGTTATGCATGAACTCCACACCTTTCTACCATTGTGGCAAAATGCTACTTACAAATACTAATCATTCAAAATTGTCTTAAATTATTACATTATTTTTATAACTTAATATATATTTTTTATATTATAGAATAAATTTTTATAAAATCACCTAGACCACTTATGTCCTAACCCACTGTTCGACTAAAGCTTAGTATCTTTTATAACCTTGATTTTTTGCACAATGTTTTATAATATTGATATAGGAATTGTACAAAAAACATGAGATGCGCAGAGCCTTACGTTTAATAGAGTCTCATATTTAATGGTCTCCTTAGCATTTTTTTTAAAAATTTTGGTTAAAGAAATAATGACTAAAATTAGTAGTTTTTTTATTGGGAATTTTAACGAAAAGCACATGGTACTGTTCACTTTAACGAAAAACCACATTTTTACACTAAAAAGTCAATCCTGGTACTATTCACTTTACCCTTTATTTTGTCCATTATCATTAAAACTCAAAGTTTTCAAAGCCATTTTCATTAGTTTTCCTTTTTTTATTTCATGTTATACACATATATATTTACACTAGAGTTGGAGGAAATAAATTAATATCAAACTCGTTATTCACGAGATTCAGGCCTATTACAAGTGAAGAAGACTGTACGTACATAATACTCAATAACAACTGAAATTTTACTGTACCCAGTGCACAAGGCTCCCGCTTTACGCAGGGTCTGGGAGAGGTAAATGTCGGCTAACCTTACCCCCATTTATGGAGAGGCTGCTCCCAAGTCTCGAACCCGAGACCTACCGCTCATGGGCGAAGGCACTTGCCATCGCACCAAGTGCGACCTCCAGGAAATATTGAGTAACATAAACCACAAAATTTAATTATGTCCTCATCTGCAGATATGTCTTAAACGTATATATCCAGAAGTTTTTCCAATAGATAGACATTCAGATAATAATTAAGATACTGACTAGAAATGGAACATACATACTGCTCAAACTGTACAAGGATTTACGTACTAAACGGGTAACTAATTCATAAAGATTTGGGGAGTCAAGCGCGGTTTGACGAGGACATCGAGAGGGGAGAGTTTCATATTTGTAAGTCCGACGCTTCCGGTCATATCAACCGGTGCATTTTTCAGAGTTGAGACATCAAACGCATGTAGAAAACCAGCCAGAGTCAAAAGCGTCACTTGAAGGCCAAAAGTTATACCAGGGCATGCTCTTCTACCACTACCAAAAGGCATGAGCTCAAAATGCTGACCCCTAACATCAATATCTTTATGGGTGGTGAGAAATCTCTCCGGCTTGAACTCCATCGGGTCGGCCCAAACCCGTGGATCGGTTTGGATCTTCCACAGGTTCACCAACAGCCACGTGCCTTTCGGAACATGGTAGCCTCCGACCGTGCCGTCCTCGGTGAATTCCCTTTGGCCAGAGATTGGTCCAGCAGGACATAAACGCATTGCTTCTTTAACAGTTGCTTGCAGGTAGACAAGATTGCTGATATCTGATTCGTTCACTAGCCTTTCTTTACCAACATGCTTGTCTAGTTCTTCATGAACTTTCTTCAAAGCGTGACGGTTATTCAAAAGTAGCGAGAGTGTCCATATCAGAGTCACCATGGTTGTGTCACTCCCTCCAAGAATCAGACTCTACAAATAATTGAATCATAATTCGCTTGGGTAGTTAAAACCAAATTTAACCGAGAAAATTTAATTAATTAGTTTGAACTTTTAAAAGAGAGACAATCTAGTTAACTATAAACGAATTTAGTATGTACCAAACATGTTGCTTTGATGACTGTATCAGTATCGAAGCCTGAAACATGTGCTCCATCAAGGACTGAAAGCATCACACCCATGAAATCTTGCTGATCTTGGCCTTTAGCTCTTCTCTGCTTGTGCTCCTCCAACCATCCCATAACAATACTGTCCAACGCTTTGGCAGTTTTTTTCATAGCCTTCTGATGACCGCCCAAATCCAACCACCAAAGCCAAGGAATAGCATCTCCCAACACAAACATTCCCACCAGGTGAAAGAACTCCCTCATGGCCTTTTGCCACGCTCTTGCCTCTTTCTCATCATTCGAATTGCCATTAACAACATTAAGGACTCTCTTTTCGGCAATCATCCTTAAAATCACATTTAGAGTCAAATCCCCAAACCACTGTTTCATCTCCACCGAAATATCGGCCGACGATCCACCATCTTTTCTTTCGGTCCATCGCTTATACAGCTTTTTTAAACGCATCTCCACTTCGGATACTCGAACGCTTTTGAGTAACTCGAGCCTTCGGTTTGAGAGTAGCTCGAGGGATGTAAGTTTGCGTATTTTGCGCCAGTATGGACCGTAGGGGCTAAAGCCGAACATAGCAAAGTCATAGCTCAAGTGCTTAATCCCTAGGGTAGCGGGACGGGAGGAAACAATGGAGTCATTGGTGGTGAAGCACTCCTTGGCAGCCTCCCAAGTATTTATCACCAGAGCTGAGTGGATGCCAATGTTGAAGGTGAAAATTGGTCCATTTTTGTCAACCAAGGCTCCCAAGGTTATATGGGGAAGCTGGGATCCTCCGAATAGATCGAGATGACCTAGCAGAGGCAACCCACCTGCCAATTTTGGTGGTTTGGAACCCCTGGAATTGGTAGCTGCCCTAAACTTTTGTATGAAATAGTACGAAAATAGAAGTACGGCAAAGAGTCCAGCTATGGCAGTGTTTAGGAATGGGAAAGAGAACTCCATTAATTGGAGCTTGGGTTACTTGGTTATCTATCACTACAATGATTCTTATTTATTGTACACGATAACATAATTCCGAGAGATTGAGGATCCTCTCTCGGATCATTTTACGAGGATAGTAGGGATTCTTAAATCGTATCTATTCATATCGTACGATCATCTTTTTGTAATGTATTATTCATATTTAATTTTAAATAAAAATATTTAAAATAATTTTTAATTGCACGATATATAATGAACGAACATAATTTAAAATTTTCTAAAATCCTCACAAAAAGAATTCAGAGAAAATCCTCGAGAATCTACGCTCAGATATACTTTTGGCTTTTCCAATGGATTATTGGGATTTGGATCCTCTCCGAGGTAATTGATTGGAATTCTCTGATTAGTGTTCGTAAACAGTTGAATTTTTATTCAACGACGACAAACAAAGAAATCTTTTAAAAATTATAATAATTGTAGCCCAACCTTTTGCCTGAGGATCCAAATCCGAATTATTGATCTCTAGGAAGGAAACTGCCAATCGATCACTACCATAGAAAATCCTCCAGAATCTACGCTCAGATATACTTTTGACTTTTCCAATGGATTATTGATCCCTAGGAAGCAAACTGCCAATCGATCACTACCACAAAACGAAAGCATTGTCAGTGGTCCAGTACTTTACGTGAAAAGCTAAAAGTTATCAGGAAAGAAAAATGTGTTATTCTATCAGGACAACTGTTACGGAAACAATCTCAAAGTGAGATTTTACGTAGCTTCACCGTAACATTATATTTTTGGCAGAATATGTTATAAGCCGGAAGAAGAAGAGTGATAAAAACTAGAAATATGACCCGCGCGTTGGTACGGGATTAAAAACTGTATTAAAAAATTATGTTTCAAGGCTATAAGAGATTGTTATAAATCGTTAATGTTATTTAAACTGAAAGATGTTTAAACTTTTTGTAAGAATTTTACATGAAAAGTATAAATTAGGTGAACGAACTTTTTGATACGATGGATGTCATTGCAGACCATTTTAAATTAAACGAAGAAGGTACGTAGTTGGACGCATGGTAGTTGATACGAAATCTATTATCAATGTATCCTGCAAAACATCACGGAAATAATAAAAAACAATTCTGACAGATGACAGTAAAATAGTGAGACAAACTTGTACCAAACGTACAAACAGGACAAATACTAATTAAGGGGAAAATAACCAAGAATAAAAAGATGAGGCTTTTCAAAGCTTACCAAATAGAATCACCAAGCAATTTTCCAAAGCATTAAGTGATTTTTTGCAATCCTTCTTCGTAAATTTACAAAAAAACACAGGAATAATTATATAAGCAACTAATAAGCTAAAAAGCTGATACAAATTAAGAAGAAAGCATTGAAATTAAAACAATACAATATTTTAACACAAATTGAATGATTCAAATCTCTGTATAGTTATCAATAAAACAGGTGAGTGCATTTTCAACTCTTTGGGTTATTTACTTGAGGTAGATTACACCCTTCACATGCTCGGTGAGGAAAACCAAAACCAATTAATAGCAAATTTAAGGAAAACATCCATTCTAAATATGAAACAAAAGCACATACGTCAAGTCAATCTTCTTACTATATTCATTTCATCCAATGATGCATCAAATATAAAAATTAAATTATACTTCTACTTTGTAACGTTTTGATTTTGTTTTATCTGCAGCTAAACCAAAATTTCGACGGTTCCCAGTATAATTATGTGAAACCAGATAGCAACACCATGTAAAAGTCATATTGGGTGTCCACACCCACACCTATCAATTTACACATAAATTTGAACTTTGAATTACTTGGGTTTCAAAAATATTTGCACAAAAATTTGAAAAAAGATGAATAAATTGAAACAAAGTAATATCCACTGGCAATTGAGACTGACCCAAACCTGTTATCAAGCTCTGCTATACGAAATAGAAGTGGGCTGCTAAGAGAACTGTGCAGCATCGACAAAGTCTAGAACAACCTAGAAATTTACAAAAGTCAAATTTACAGCCAAAGAAGCAATTATTTACTGAATTATAAAGAAAAATCTTCACAAAATAGTGTCTAGTTTTACAAATAAATGAAACCCAAATTAAATTTCTTGATAAAAACTAAAAGCTTGAAAGATTAACTGATTAAGAAAAAACGCATGAATCCTACCATAGAAAAGATGTAAACTTTTGCATTGGCAAACGATTCATAATCTAAAAATGATATCTTAAACAGAACACATTAATCCAAGTCAAAAGTTCCCAAATTTAAATCAACCAATACGAACAAAATATAAAACATGGTTCATTGTTTCTCTTTGCATTTTAAATCACATGGTGTTTCCCAATATACTATTGTCTTAACATTTCTTATACTCATGCATTAGATAAAAAATGATACCATACTAAAATTACATGGACTGCTTTATCACGGTTTAAGGAAGCAACCCCAAATCATAGTATCTACATATTTTTTCAGATTATCTAAAACACTTGAGCAAAACCATCACTTCTCCAATGAAGCCATGTGAGGTGAGCACCTGAATCGACAATGAAGAAACAAAGAAATCAATCTTCGATCACCAAACAAAGATTCAAACCCAAAGCTGTGTAATTCATCAAAAAAATTGACAGAATTGATGAACAAATTGACACAATCGATTGAAGAAAGTGCAAAAATTCTTAAACCTGATCTTCTGGACGCGATGCGATGGGGAGAAATCACATCAACCAGCAACCAATCATGCATCCATAACCTTCCAATACGCAAGAAATCGAAATAAAAATGGAGCTCCAGAAATCACACGAAACATAATTTAAAGTTGTGAATCAACAAAACACAGAATTCTGAATAGATCTGCTTGTCTAATAACAAATCAAATTGACAGCAGCAATTCTTTGTTCTACGTTCTTCCAATGATGATCGGGCAATACTGTTGTTAACGTAGATAAAGGTAAAGGACACAAACCTATAACAACTAATTCAAATATATTCCTTTCAATCTATAAACTAATTCAAAGATTTGCTCTTCCTAGATATCTAAGGAAAGGAATAACATCTCTAATGTTGTCAATACCAGTAGCAAACAGAACCATCCGTTCAAATCCTAAACCAAAACCACAATGTTTGACAGCCCCGAAGCGCAGCAAGTCAATGTACCACTCATATGGCTCAGCAGCAAAGATAAAATCTTTTGCAACACATAAATGGAAACACCAAGTCATCCAACCATAAAACAACACAGCAACGACACCAAAATTAAAAATAAATAAATCCCACAGATTGGACTTTCACACTATAGAAAACATAACTTTCACAATATTAAAAAATACAATTTGTTGTAGAAAATGCGTAAAAAACCGAAATTATTTACCTTGAACATAATTGGCTTCCAAGCTTGTATACAGAAGCCCCAAAAAACGAAAAGCACAGTGACCTGAAACAAAACACAGAAGCAAATCATACAACCAAACAACAGATCTAAGGATATAAACAAAACACCCAAAATTGCAAATAACGTAGAGCAACGCGTTCTGAAACGAAAAACACAAACAAATCATCGACCCGGACAGCGGATCTAATGATATAAAGAAAATACCCAGAATAAGAAAAAAAAATAATTCATCCACAAATCCCACCTCAACATGGAAAACTACCAGAAAAAAAAGAAGTTAAAAAATACTCACCAATAAACGACGGTGGACCTTGGAGGTAACAAATCACCCTGATAAAATGGAAAAACCAACCAAGACGAAAATTAATAGAAATAAATTATTGAAATTAACACCCAAATTCCAGAAATGAAGAAAAATAGAACCTTAATATGGAAATTGAAGCTTTACTTGCAGATCGGCAACGACAAACGACATCCAGTGGTAGGGTACCTCAAGAGTGAGAGAGACAGCTGAGAGATGAGTGAGAGACGCTGAGAGAAATCGAGATTTGAGAGCGATAGAAGCAGACTTTTGTGAGAGAGAAAAGTGAATACGGAAGGAAAAGTGCAGAAAATGCCAAAGCATAACTTTTTACTGATGATCGACGCGTGGGCAAGGCGGGCAAATCCAGAAGACGGAGAGGATAAATGCGTGGCCTCGGAGGGTAAGGAAGTCATTTCACTGTAGAAAAGAAGGCAAAAAAGTGACTTAACAAACGAATTGAGGGGTATTTTGGTCCGCACACTGCTCTAAAACAGTAACCATATGTTTGGGTTTTAGTATATATAGAATGTGAGGTGGTATAGGAGAGATTTTCGGGGTATTCAGAACATGAAGTGATACATCATATGTTATTATACAAGTGATGAAATACTTTTGTTAAAAATTAACGATTTATAAATAAAACTTTCCTCTACTTATGTGAAATAACGTTCTTTAGTTCATCACGTCAGGTGAAAAGATTATCTTTCTCCATTTGATCATAATGGAGGGTGTAACTATTTAAACTTATCCGATTATATAACACTACTGTTTAATTTTTAATTGTTATGTAAATAATCATGTGAAGGCTCATATTATAACTCTTAGAATTTGTAATTAAGTTGGTTAAAAAAATTTAATTTTATATTTTTCAAAACATAATAACAAGAAAAAAGGTCTATAATTATTTCAATAATTTAAAAAAGTGAGACAGTTTTGAATCTAAAATATATGAGTAAATTACCAACAATCATTACTTTAGTCTAAAGAAGGCTTTTCAATTGCACTGTACAAATGAACAATGTTTTAAACCACATTTCAGTTTATTTACAAGATTGCCACTCGGATGCTTTTAACCACCTTTCACTTAATTTACAAAATTGCCACTCAGGCTTAAAAACCTATTTTCAGCCGTTGGCTGCATTTGACGTTTGAATCGGCGAGAGAGAGGGGAGGGGGACATCACGCCTGACAAATTGGAGAGAGACAATCGCTCCCATTTTTTACTCGGAGACAGCTGGGTGTGCCTCTGGCGAGCGGAGAGAGGGGGATAGAGCGACTACAGAGGAGGGAGACACAGAGCTTGACAGATTGGAGAGAGATGGGAGCTACGAGTTTGGACGGAGTGAGAGAGATATTTAGGTAGGTGCTTTGCCAGGCTCTCTCGGCCGCTAATCTTGATGCACACGTGTTGATGATCGTGGGAAGGGAAGAACGATGGTAAAGCTGGCCCTTTCCATTTCCTTCTCAAACCCTCATTGCCTCTTCCGTCTCGCAGACCCTGCGAGAACGACGGTCTCTCCTCCATCCTATCCTCCAGTCGCCGCCGTCTCCCTTCTCTAGGTAGGGTGTTGTGCGTGTGCGGTCATGCTTGATGATCGTGGAAGCCAGCGATTCAGCTTTTACGACATAGCCTCGACTCTGCTTCCATCTCCATTTTCTCTCCTCGCCTTCTCTCTCAGAAATCACCAACGAGCTTAAAAACCACCAAGCCGTTAGAAATCTCTTCGATTCTCTCTCAGAAACTACGAAGCACAACGACCTCTTGCTAAAAAACCGTGAATTTAGTCCCACTTCGAAGGAAATTTTAAGCTCATAAAAGCCTTGGTTTCCTGGTGAGTTCTCCAGCCGATTTGGAGTAGGTAATTTTATGATTTGCAGTTTATTTTGGGAAATGATTGACGGGTTTGCAGTTCATTTTACCATTTCTAGAATATTTGCAGTTTATTTTGGGGGTTTACACTAAAATTGAGGAAGCATATATGAACGCAAAGGCTCGAGGATGTACGACAACTTGGATATGATAGGGTACAACCTATGACATTTCTGTAAATTCAGTTTCTTTTTTCTTTTCATTTTAGGGGTTTTTTTTAACTATTTAGTTTTTGGGTTTTGTCTAATTTTTGTGGTCTGCTTTATGGATTGTTCTCTTTGGAAGCTTCTTTCCAGCCTTGAGCTTCTTCTTGCCAAAAGAGTGTTCGATTGATTTTTCCTCCTCAAATCAAGGGTTGGTGTCGGGATTGAGGGGTGGGTCCAAAATGGGTATGGTTCTGAGGGAAAGAGGGATGGCAGAGACAGAGGTCATGGAGTTGGGCGTGGGAATTCCAAAAATCAAGGGCTGCTGTCAGTGGGTGTTAATATCAGCAATGAGCATGATTGGGATGTGAGTTCTCTCAACCTTTTGATTAATTTTTTATATTTTGGCTTTTTATATAAGACATGTAGCAGCTGAGATTCAAAGCTGCTTCGCTTTCTTTCTCAAGTGTTTCATCAAGGAAGAAGATGGTCAGTTAGTTCTCTATTTTTAAAAAAAATAAAAAAAAAATCATCATTTGAAGAATTTTGGGAAAGTTTTGAGATTTTGAGCTTATGATTCATATTTTGTAAACCAAATGAACCCAAGATCCGGATTCCGAAATCTTCAGGACCTATAGAAGAGGAATATGCCATTGAGATTATTCTTAGTGCGTGCTGAAACAGAATCTCAACAAGACATTACGCTGTTGATTTAATAATCAACTATAGTGTGGTCTGAATTCTTTCTTATTAAATTCAGCTGGTATTTTACCCATATTAAGATCTGTATGTGCATCATTTGTTTTTGAGGTCTCTAATCCCAAAGTCTTTTTTGTCAAATCCTTTTAGGAAATTAGCATGTCAAATCACGTTTGTTGATCTTTTTTCGAAGCATATTCACTGAGTACACTACCTGCATAATATAGGCTTATATAATACAAGCTTAGGAAACTATCAGAATTTTTATGTTTGGGAATGAGCTTCCTGCCAAAAGAGAGGTAATTGTCTTATATCTTCTTCTCTCTTTGTGTTTATATTTTTTTTCCTGAGTTGTGTTCGAATATGACAAACAAGAACTACAAAGGCAGCTAAGAATATCCAGCCATCGATTAGCGGTTGAAGAATTAATTGGTCGTAGATCTTGGATTTGTAGTGTTTTCATTTCGGAAACATGTGAGACTTTATGCATCATGTATATCTGTGCAATTTTATATCCCTTATATATTTACGGAGCTGTGGCAAAGCTTCTCATAGTCGTCAGGATGGTAAAGGTTTAAAAATGTCTAATTTTATTCACATGTGTATTCTTTTCATGTGTATAAGCAAATGTACATGCATAGGCATGGTGTGTGCGTGTTTCTTCTTTGCTTTACTTTTATTTTTATTGAGATTTGGTCAATATTAAATTCAAATTGATATTTTAGACTTTACTCATTTTCGTAACCCAACATGTAAAGGGTTAATTCTATTTTTAGGTTGCAGGAAAATACGGTGTATAATCTTGGGAGTGCTTTCGATTCTACTCTCATCTCTAATATGAATATAGGTTACAACCCTGCCCTGTGTAATCCAGAAGCTAAAATCACACTCTCTCAATCTGAACTTCATCGTAGATGTACTCTCTTTCCCTCTTAATTGCTTCTTAGGGCTTCCCTGTTTTGATTTCATCCAATTTGTTAAATTTATTGTTAATTTCAGGGTACTACCATTTTTCTGCTGACTTTGATTCCACACTTCAGAAAGGTATGCCTCTAATTTATGATAAATTTTGCCAATTTGCTTCTTGATTTGGAAAGGTATGACTCCAATTACTTTGTTTTCCAAAGCCATCATAGCATCTGCATCCTCAGTTGTAGAACAAAAGCTAATCCAATTGCTAATCTTAGCATCTGCATCACCAATTCACCATTATCTTTTGATTTTGAGTGCCTTTATCGAATAGAGGGCAACTACACAGTTTATGTCTTCGATATACAAATATCAACGCTGATTTCTTTTGTTTACTAAATACATGCATAATCTGTGGTTCGTTTGAACTTTGATATATGTCAAAACTTATAATAAAGGTACTGGGACGTTGTTTGGAACAGAGTTGGAGGTGACGATGTGGTGGAAAAGTAAGTCCTCTTACTTTCCTCTCTAGCACATACTACATAATCTTTCCAACTTTGACTAGAATTATATCCACAACTCATTTGCTGGCTACAAGAATTGGATATAGAGTAATGGTTTAATAATGGTTTTAGAATGGTAAATGATCGCAGAAGCAACATGGAATTCAATAGTTGATATTTTGACTATAATTACTTTTTGACACTAACGGCTTGCCACTGGTAGCTTCTTAAGCGGAAGATCCTATTCAATTCCTTATCTCATTGTTGGATTTGCCATTCAATTCCTTATCTTACTTTTGTATTTTTCATGGAGTTTGGGTGCACAATTACAAGGAGAGAAAGAGAGGGTGGGTGCAGTCATTTTCTCTTTCTATATCTTTCCTTTCCCAATTTGCGTCTCTGGTTGTTGGCGTTCGTCTTCCTCCTCAAGGTAAGGACTTTTCAATCAATTTCTGAAGATTTAATATGGGTTTTATTGTTTTAGTTCGAACATTCACGGATCTATGAGCAATAGTTTCAGATCTAATGGTTTTGTTTTCGAATTTTCCTAGCTGTGTAGTTCACCATTTTTTTTGCTTCTGAATCTGAAAAATAGATTGAATTTTTTATATTTTTTTATTGCTGTAGACATAACCCAGAATTTATTTTTTCATTTGGTGAATTGGGTTTGGTTGTTGTACATTTCTCTCTCTGCATCTACAGAACGTTGTTCTACCATGCCTGGGTTTCGAAGTTCCAAATCCAATTTAACGCTTCATCAACTCCACTTAAAGTTTCCTGCATCTCTCTCTCCTCAAATTCTTGGCCAAATAATTTTATAAGCTTCAGGGAAATGATGCTAAAAGTGCTTAAGCTTATCTATCTGTTTATTTATTTTAACTTTTGTTTTAGTTGTTTTTAGAATGAGTACAATTGAATTGCTTGCCTGATTATTTGGTAAAAGTGCTTTTCTGCGAATAATCATTTGTTAAATGTGTTTTTCTGTGAATAATCATTTGTTAGATATGCTTTTGCATTTGAAGATTGACATTCATGTTGCAAGAATTAAGTTGTGATAGATTATTCTGTAGTCCAATTGCAAATGTGTTGATGAAGAGCTGGAACATGTATACACCTGCTTTTAACAACTTTGATTGTTAGGGTTTTCTGGTTTGTTAATTTGGTATTTCCTAAATCTTCACTTTTAGGTTGAGGAGAAAATTGTATAGATTTTTTGTCAATTTTATTCTTCATTCTGAAATTTGTGTAATTGGTTGGCTCAAATCTTTATATGGATTGCTTTGTGTGATTGGTTGACTCAAATTTTTCATATTCCTTTGTATGGATTAATTTGTGTAATTGGTTGGCTCAAATCTTTATTTGATCTAACTATTCCAATTTGGCTAATTTGGTTTTTAATTTTTGTTTAGGTTTGATTATATTGGGGTTGAATTCTAAAGTGAGGGTGTGGGGGAATAAGGGTGCAGGATGTGCGCGTAGGGTGCAGGATGTGCGCGTAGGGTGCAGGGGTTTCAGGGGTGGTAGGGGGTGGGGTGCGCCTGTGAATTGCGGAGCTGCTCAGCTCTTCCTCTATAAGATGAGTTTCATCCCTGCCTTAATTCACTTAAATCCTGTGATTTCATGCCTTTTTTTGTTCTGATTCTGAGAGCATGTTTTAGATGGTGGTTTAAATTTTTGCTTTGTTCTGCCTCTAGACAGCCGCCACCACCACTTTGTCCAAATCTGATGGCTCAGGCTGTAGCATCTGCGTGAATCTCCCCGTACAATTGGACTCCGCAATGTTTTCCAAATAAACTCCAAACTCCGAAGGTGCAGCTGAAAAGTTAGAATCTGAGGCAATCAAATCCAATCCAGGGAAGAGATTGGATAGCTTCTGAGGTGTGGCTATGATCTGCTCTGACAATTCCAAATGGAGATGATACTGAAGAAGATTGTAAGTCAAGCCTAATCACTAAATACATTAGTAATTTTAGTGACTGGTCTGAGAAGAAGACATTGAAATAATGATAAGAATATGGTAATTCACAAATGATTAGGATTGTGTGAATGTTAGTTTAAAATGAAGTTTCTGTGTTAGAATTAAAAGAACTATGCACGGTGGATTTTTATAGGTGTCATGAAATTTTTATACCAGTTTTATTTTATGGGAATTAAGTGCAGAGCGGTTTGGGATATCTGTGCAGCTCACATAAGAAGAGAATTGCAACTCTCGGGCTGAGAGGTAACTGGGATTTGTTCTTCTGGGTCAGTTTTTAAGGTTAGGGTTTTTTTTCGCGTTCGGTTGTTCTGGCAAGTTTTGTTGTAGTGTGTGTGTGTGTGTGTGTCCATCATCATGTCATTGGAATCATATGTTTGAATTTGGATTTGGAATAGTTTTTCTGATGTTTGTATTTTTTGTATATTATAATTCAGTGCAGGTTTGCATTGGATATAGGATAGTCATGGATTGGTTTAAAGCTTGGCTAATGATAGTTTCAGATCTTGATCATACGATTGTAGGTTCTGTAAATGGTTTTGTCATCGTAGGTTCTGTAATTTGAATAATATAAATTAGGGTTTTTCGCTTAGTGTCCAATTAGTGAAGAAAGGATGATTCTTTTTGCTACCATGCATATTTAAGCTGTAAACATCTGAAAAGCAGCTTAATTGAAGTGAAATTTCCAGTTTTTGAGCCCGATTTTGAGTCTTGAACTTTGAATTTGTCTATATGTAGATCAGCTGAAGCTATCTACGTAGTAGTTTACAGTATTTGTATTGGTAATTATGTGTTTAAGTTGCGCAACTTGAATTGCCCCAATATCTTTTGTGTGCAATTTGGTTTAGAAATGTGGGTTTTGATGTTTTGGCAGGCATTGGAAAAATAGAAATTGGTTTTCGCTCAATGTGTAGTTAAATCTTAAAATACAGTTTATTAAATTGGGTTCATTAATTATGGGTGGTAGCAAATTAGTGACGTCGACTCCTGTAAGGAAGAGGTTGATGAGAGACTTCAAGAGGCTGCAATAGTATGCAAAAAGGCTGTTGATTCTGCTGGTTTTTTTCTGTAATCAATTTAGGAGTTCCTGTTGTATTCTTAAGCATAACGTCTGACTGCCAATGACATATTCTATTGCTTTCTACAGCTGCCAATGCCTAAACCTCCAACAAAATGGAAACTTTTTCCAAAACAAAAGGTAAATCATTACTGCAGGAGCTGAACAGTACCTTTCCTCTGTTTTTTTTTTTTTCTTTCTTCTTCCCCCTTCAAGGCTTTGTTTTGGTTCTCATATGTGGCCATTTGGTCATTGAGAAATGTAGTTGGATTTAAGATTTTGAGAAATTGGGCCATCTCTAGGAAAATTTCAGAATTTGGGATTGGACCTGTCAAGTTGTTATAAGAAAAGTCATAGGTATCCACGGACATGGTTGCTATCCGTTTGAATTTTGTTACAATAGTTTCCCTTGAGCATAATGGTTGCACTGAATTTGTTTTTTGATGATTCAATTTTGGGTTTGAAAAAATGCTCCCAGGTTGAACAAAAATATCTCCAGGATCCCTATTTTTTTAATGGCGCTGTTAAGGTAAATTTTCTTTATCCCTATTGCAGAGTAATTTTTGATGGATTATGTCTTCTGAGTAGTATACAAGCCGGACATTGTATCTTTGAGAAAGTTTATGGTGTATAGTTTCTGCATAAGTTTATTCTGGGAGTGGTATAGAACCATATATGGAGCTTCGTGGTGCATGCACTGGAAATTTTATGATTTAGGATTTTTTCGATTTCCTCCCTTTAGTTGTTTTATGTATGGTGAATGAATTGAATTTGGAAGGAAGGCAACTCAATGGTTGTCTTTTTCTTTTTTATTTATTGCAAGAATGCTACTAGAAGAATGGCAGATTTTAACTATGACTGTCATTGAAGATTTATCTTGAATCTGGACAGGTTTTTGTCAATTGTTATTTACAAAGGTTGTGACTCTTCGTGCTGGCACCAAAATAAAGTTTGTAGAAGGTTGTTTACTGACGATAAAAGGTAGCTTGCAATTTTTATTTTAATGAATCTTATTAAATGCATTTGAGTATCACAAAAATTTTCTCAATTATTTTAGCTATTAGGAAAATCACTCCACTAAAAACTGTTATTCATTTACATTAACAACTTTTATTTTTCCAAATTGTAACAGAGAAGCATGCATATCATGAAAAATAAAAGACGGAAGTTCTGAAGTGACGACCAGGAAAGTTTAGAAGTCTAATATAACTGTAAACAAGAATGTAAATCCGGGATGAAAAATGTTAATATAATTATGATTCTGGATGACTCATTTGCGAATTTTATCTTAATTTGAATAATTTTTTATCTAGGTGTACAGTTACATCTGTGATTTGTTGTTTATGTGGTGAAAAAATAAGATGGCTTTATATTTTTTTATGAGACTTAATTTTGAGTTTTGAATTTGAGTTCTCATGCAAGAATTCACTTGAGTTTTGAGTTCCCATATGTTTTCATTGTTTCATTTATACATCTGTTGGAGGATTGGAGGGGATTGGGAGGCAGATGAGTGAGACTTCTGATGGATACATAGAAATAAATGGTCTCTCACATCTTGAACCAGATTACTCTGGGTTTTTGGCAGGTATGAATGATTCCAGCCTTTTTTTTTTTAATAGATGAGCTATGCTTTCCATATCAATCAGAATATTCTGTTATTAGAAGCAATTACATAGAGTTAGGCCAACTAAAATGGCTGGACAGAAAAAATGGTCCTAATTTTTCACTCTAATGATGTTGGCAAGTAACGTTGATTGTTATAAACGTTGGCGGTCCTTCTGTTTTTTCACAATGTAAGCCCAAGATTATACGATGGTGCTCAATTTGGATTTGTTGCTTCTTCTATTTCTCAAGGAAACAGAACTTTTTTGGAAACCATCTCTTTCTAATCAAAGACGTTCAATTTCTTCCCACTCATTGTACAATGTGTTTATAATTGTTTTGAATTTATTCAAATTAAATGTGTTTTATTCATCCGATTACATCTGAAACAACAGGTTCCCGCAGCAACGCGCGGGCATATTTTCTCGTCTATTCTAAAGTAGGGGGAGGGCAGGCATTGTTCACGTTTGTTTTGATTTTGCTTTATTTACAACAATACCAGCCGAATGTGGCTGGGTTGGGAGGGTGATTGTCAAAATTTTAGAGGGTAATTTTGTCCATATGGCTTATCAGGGAGCCACTCGATTTCACGCTATTTACAACAAAACCGTGAGGTTTGGGCTGGTATTGTGGCTGGGTTGGAAGGGCAATTTTGTCCTGTGCGTTAGAGAGGGATTGGGGTGGGTTTGGGTTTGCTGTCATTCAGTGAGGGTTTCGGGATGGGAGGCCATGCCTCCGATAGAGAGAGAGAGAGAGAGACAGATAGCGAGCAATAGAGAGAGAGAGGGAGGGGGAGAGGGAGAGGTTAGGATGTCAGTGCCCCAATGTTTGATATGGTGACTGGGTGGTGACAGTGAAAGAAAGAGGATGGGTTGTCCGGATTACGGGGAGAGAAACAGAGAGGGAAGGGTGGGGATGGTGAACAGGCCCAAGCATGTTCCCTCAGTCCGGGATTCACTCCCGATCGTCCATGCCCTGTTGCATGTTCAGATAAGTCTCTTTTTCATTTGGATTTTGAACTATGTTGGTACCATATATTTGGACCTCGTATTTGGGCCTTGGGCTTCGTATTTGGGCCTCACACATTAAGCCCACGACAAATGTAAAAGAGGAGGAGCCCCTTATTCTATAAAAGGGGACTCCCCCTCATTCTAAAAAAGGTCTTAAGTCCTCATTTCTAAGGGCTAGAGCTGAAAACAAAGGCTAGAGGCCTTGAGAGAGAGTCCTCACACCACCGAGGCTCTCCTCTCCCTTCTCTTCTCTCTCTGGGGGACTTCCCCTCAAACACTTGTATCCACTTGTATCCATACAATTACAGAGAAACAGAATCAACTACAGTGTGGACGTAGCCCAAACATTGGGGTGAACCACGATAAAATCCTTGTGTTCTTTGTGTTCTTCGTGTTCTTGAGCGTTTGTGCAGATTCACGGTCGGATTTACGTTGTTCCAAGACCACCCCGGTTTTATGCATCAACATTTGGCGCCGTCTGTGGGAATCGACACGAAAAGCTATGTCGGTTCTCTTTCATTTTTTTTCATCAAACCTCACAACCTCCACCGTGAATCTGCAAAAAACAGCACCGCCTCTCCTGGATGCCCACTTCTCTCTCTGCCATTCTCAACCCCACAGAGCCAGAATCTCACCTCCATCCGCCATGTTCCGCCGCTAAATCCCCTGTGGGTTGGGGGCCAGAGACAAAGTGGAGCTCCTGTTAATTCAAGTTTAAAGAATTATAATGTACTGCAACCAGATTCGGAGAGAGGGCATGGGGGTCAGCTATACCATGTGCCTCATGGTTTGAATTTTATGCAATCAAATGTGAGACCCGAGTTTGGCAGAGCCCAGTATCAAAATCAACTCAGAAGCCCAAGTGCACACACAGAGATCACATTCAAACCCAAACCCTATGGCTGAAACTCCATCCCAGACGCCGACGCCGCCGCGATCTGCGTCTGAGGCCGAGACGGAGACGATGGAGTACTGGTGCTACCAGTGCAACAAACGCGTCTCCATAAGGTTCTACAGGAAGTATTCAACAAGTTAAAAATTGAGAAGCATCTTGAAGTCAATAGGCTTGTTAACCCTGTGGAGCGAAGGAGTAAGGGTGGGAAGGATCGGCATCCCAAAGGTGCTCAGAAAATCTCAAAATCTCTGCAATCAAGCAATTTACATAACCCTGGCTCTGGAGATGCAATTGGTCTTAATAAGACCTCAGGACCAAAGCAAACAAGAACCTCTGCAGACTGCAGACCTCAGTGGTCAGAATCCACTACCCTCATCCTCTTCATCTTCTGCAACCCCCGGCCGGCTCCGAGCCATCCAACAAAGACTCCGCCTCCGTGCAAGAGAAGTTTGCGCCAAGAGCAGGAAGCCCTAGCGACCGCGACTCGTTCCCTCTCCGTCGACGAGCAGGATCTTCTCGCTGCGAGCTACGGTGACGTCCCCCTGATCGAGCTCCAATCGAAGACGGCTGAGGACGTCAGTCACTGGACCAAGGTTGGAAGCCTAACCAGTGCGTTGGAGAACCGGTCCGTGCCGATACGTAGCCGGGCGCATACGATTCGTGCCGTCGGGAAGAATATGGCGTTGGTTGTCGTCAGAGAAATGGGGTTTACAGTGCAGTGCGTGGCGACGGTGCATCCTGACACCGTGAGCCGCCAGATGGTGAAGTATGTCGCTGGGTTGAGCAGAGACGCAGCAGGTGGAGGTTCAAATGAGGAAGTTATATTGTGTGAATAAGGCTGCTGTTTTACCTATTAACATTGAGGATGCTGCTCGGAGTGATGTCGAAATCGAAAAGGCTTTGCAGGCCGGAGAAACACTCGTTCGAGTTAATCACTCACAGAGTTGGACGGGAAGGAGAAACAATCGAAAAGGCTGTAGCACATCCTGCCCTAACTATTAGTGGAACCCTGAGCCTTATTTGGGCCCCGCCACTTTGCTCCACTCCAATTGAGTTTGTTACAGCAGGATATTCCAATGGATGATAATCATCATCAAAAGGGCTTGGACAACAACAAAAAACGTTAGGTCTCCATCCACTTTTTCCTGTCGACCGCCAATGTCGGGATAAAGATAAGGCATCTTCTTTCTTTATCAATAGTGTTTCATTATAATCGGCACTCACAACAGCATATATATATATATATATATATATATATATATATAATGATAGTTGGCATCACAAAAGCGTTATTAGGATATGCCGTGCTTGTTGCTAGAAAGCATTATTATTAGTATATAATGATAGTTGGCATCACAACAGTATATATATATATATATATATACTTGTTGCTAGAATGCAACCGCATATGCCGCGTGCTTGTGCTTTTATTAAATAATGCTGTTGTAAACTTAAGTCTGCTATGCACATACCAATATCAGTATGCGTAGTGCAATACAAATGCATCACTTATATGCCATGTAACACCATATTAAATGTACTGTGCTGACAGAAAGTCAGTACTTAATCATTGTAAATGATCATAACTCCATCTATTGCATGTGCTAAACACATGCACCGAACTGATCAACATATTATATATTATTGCATCTAACCTTGAGACAATGGCTAGTCACGTGGCATAATTATGGGCACACAACCTTTCACAAGTGTATATATATATATATATATATCACTAATCCTAGTCGGATCGCGCATATTTATATAAGCATTTATTTGTGCAAATTTTTATTCATTGCCCAGTGTTTCAGCTAATTATTTCACTTATGCAACGTGTGATTTACCACACAACTGAATAAATCATTTATTTGTAGTAGGCACATCGTACAATATTCTGCCTTGACAAATTGTGTCAATTCGATTTATTCATTATACAATCATACTTATGCTGTCATTTATTGTCAGGAATTATCGAGCAACCAGCTCTACTGATCAACATTGATCTCTTGCCTGACCAGACATCCACGGGCTGAGACACCATTCATGTTGGGCACTTACAAAATCAAACCCAACTTACAGACCCTAGTCATGTCGAGAATCAACTCATACTGAGTACACGTTAACATAAAGTACGTACTTGCAACCAGGAATGCCACGAGCCGAGCCGCTTTGCTGCGAGCGTAGCCTTTTACCGAGCAACCTGGCAATGGGCATCGACTCCGGCCGAGCAACCTCTCGCCGCGAGCATAAGCCTCTAGCCAAGCAACCTTGCAATGAGCATCGACTCCAGCCGAGCAACCTCTCGATGCGAGCATAAGCCTCTAACCAAGCAAGTTCTCACCGCGAGCGTAAGCCTCTAACCAAGCAGCCTCGCAACGGGCATCACCTCCGGTCGGGCAACCTCGTAACGTGTGCTACCTCTAGCTGAGTATTACTTTATGTTAAGCGTTGACTCATGTTGAGTATTGTTTCAAGACAGCATCCAGTCACTTCGGCCCACACATGGACTGAATTTGAAGTCTCCAGCCAAAAGACTCTTGACTGAAGACTTGGGGGACTCCTGTTGGTACCATATATTTGGGCCTCGTATTTGGGCCTTGGGCTTCGTATTTGGGCCTCACACATTAAGCCCACGACAAATGTAAAAGAGGAGGAGCCCCTTATTCTATAAAAGGGGACTCCCCCTCATTCTAAAAAAGGTCTTAAGTCCTCATTTCTAAGGGCTAGAGCTGAAAACAAAGGCTAGAAGCCTTGAGAGAGAGTCCTCACACCACCGAGGCTCTCCTCTCCCTTCTCCTCTCTCTGGGGGACTTCCCCTCAAACACTTGTATCCACTTGTATCCATACAATTACAGAGAAACAGAATCAACTACAGTGTGGACGTAGCCCAAACATTGGGGTGAACCACGATAAAATCCTTGTGTTCTTTGTGTTCTTCGTGTTCTTGAGCGTTTGTGCAGATTCACGGTCGGATTTACGTTGTTCCAAGACCACCCCGGTTTTGTGCATCAACAAACTAAAATCTTAATTTTTTATTATTTCTTGCATTTGTATCTGTTGGCATTTTTAGTACGTTAGGTCAGGTTTTGGGGATTCATCTTTCTATTTATTCCCTTATTTGTTTCATTTTCTCTCTTTTTGGGGATTCATCTCTCTGTTCTGTTTGTTTGTTCTTTGTTTTAAGGTCAGTTTTTTTTTTTTTTTTTTTTTGGGTTTTCAGTTGTTAATTTGTGATTCTGTGTTTAGATTTTTCTTTCGTATATGATTAAATCGTTAATGGGTTTTGGTTGTTGAAATATTTTTTTTTTTGGAAGAATTTGTGTTTGGTTGCCGGATTTGATTTGGTTTTTGCTTTCAAGAAAACTGGGGTTCGAATTTTGGGCCGAGCCTTTATGATTCGATCGGATCGAGGTGATGGGGACAACGCGAGGGGTTGAGGTGGTGTCGGGAAGGAATGTTGTTTTTTTCTTCCTCTTGCTGATGTATAAACCCATCAGTTCCTCTGTAATTGTTTAGGTTTTCATTATTCTTTTTCGATCATATTTAGGTTCTGTGCAAGGAAGGGGACATATGAATCCTGCTCTTGATGATTCAATATGCCATCAAACATTACTTAGGCTTCTAATTTCAATTAGAAATCAAAAACCCATTTGGTGAGCCCTTGAGTCAAGGGCTACGCTAGAACATTTGGAATGAGAGTGGTCAAATCCAATCATGTTTTTGTATTATTTTTGAGTTGAAAATTAGGTTTTTCTTCATGAGAAGTTTAAATTACACTCTATTGGGTCTGAGACTTGGAAACTCAATATCTTTGTGATATTAGATTAACATAGTCAAGCTATATTTTCTTTTGGTGGGCATGTCTAAATTTCTGTATTTGCACGGTAGGGATGTCTTATCTGGTGAAGTGTTCAAAATCCTCCTGCTAACTGATTTAATAGGTTGAATTTGTATCCAAGGTGTTTAATTAACGAAAACAGGTCACTTCTCTCTATGGTGGTCCCTTAGAGTTTATGTTTATCGTGGAAAGCACAGAAGACCCTGCTTATCGGGCTGTATATATGCTACTATCACAGCTTAAGGTGTACGCAACAATAATGATGGTTTCTTTAATATAAGAAGAGCATCCATGACAAGTCATCTATAATATATGCTTGGAAGCACAAGTTTAATGCATAACATTTTTTAGGTTACATGTGTTCCCAGAATGATCTGTTTTAAGTTTAACTTCATTTCCTTGCAGGACGAGGTTGATGGTAAGATTGTTGTGGCTGGTATTTCAACAACCTGGGCTCTTGAAAGTGAGCATGCATCTACGCATTTGCATGAATGGATTGATCTCATATTCGGGTAGGTTTCTTTGGACTTTGGAGATTTCTAATTTTAGTTTATTTTTGGTTTGTATCTACCTCTTTTTCTTTCATTTCATTTTGTTTTTAACTTTTTCTTTTATAAGTTCATCACAACTCTAGACTATATCAACTTTGAATGTTTCATTTTTGAAACTGTTATATTCATTAATAAATTGGAATATACAGGTATAAGCAGCGTGGCAAAGAAGCTATAAAAAAAAAAAATTTCTTTTACATTACCTATGAAGGGACACTGGATATTCATAAGATCTCAGACCCAGTAAGTATAATTTATGTTGGCATCTGTATGATTTTTTCCATTATTGTTTTATAATTTTTTTCAGTACATTCTTTTTTCCTCTGTGCCAAAATCAGGTACAACATCGTGCAACACGGGACCAGATTGCATACTTTGGGCAAACGGCATCCCAACTGCTTACCTTCCCTCACTTGAAGAGGTTGCCATTAACAGATGTTCTTCATGTACAGGTAACGTTCTTTGGAGAAACAAGAAACTTAGCTGAACCTTTCGGAATGTTTATTTTATTTCTGGAAATTATCCAATCTAACATATTACATTGGGAATAATCACTGGTATGTGTTCATTTTCTTGCTTGAGTTTTTGCTGCGTTGTTCTATAATGTAAAAGTTAGGAAGGGCAATTTTGTCCTACCAGTTTTGGGCGAGATGGGGGGTAACCGGGTAGGTATCATTTGCTGTCGTTCAACTAGGGTTTCGGGGATGGAGGGTTTGCGAGAGAGAGAGAGAGAGAGAGGTCTCGACACTGTTGCTGCAGATGGATTTCACAAGTGGGAGAGTGGGTATGGTCAGAGAAGACCGTATGGGTCGTCAGGATTTCAGGGAGACAGGGGTAGGGTCATGAACAAACCTTACTGAAAGTGGGGTGTGCCAAATCTTGCGATGCATGCCGCAAATCCAAAGACAAGTTTGTTTTTTAAATTATATTCTTTAATGGTAGCTTAGATTTTCGAATTGTTTAGTATGTTAGGTCCGGTTTTGGGGGATTTATCATTTTAGAAAGAGATGTGGACAGGGAGATAGAGATAGAGAGAGGGAGAAGAGAAAGCATGGTTGTGTGCATTTTTTGGGGTTAATTAATGGGTTAGTGCACAGGGTCAGTGAGGACAAAATGACAGAGGGATGTATGGAAGGGTATGGGTTTTCAGTTTTTTCCTCTAATTCAACAGGTTATGCCTGTTTGAAAATCATTGTTTATTGTTTTGTTTTCCGTTTGCTTTGTTAAAACCATCATTCGAATTTTTTGGTTTCACTATGCTCAATTATGTGCTTCTTCATAATTTCCTGGTGTTTGCTTCTGCTACTAAGTAGATTCTATAATGTTCTAAATCTGTTTGGTAAATGTGCTTAAAGATTGGACATGTTATTGAATATTAGCTATGTAGTTTGGATTGGATATGTGGACCTTGGTGAAACCCACTGTGTGGATTTCACATTATAGTGTTCTAACTCAAACAGGCTTTCATGTTGTGTATTTTGATTAATAGCTGTGAAACCCACTGTGTGTCGCACCATGTAAGGAAATGGAATTGCTCCTTTTTGAGTTTAGGTAGATTTTTTTAGAGGTTTTTGTATATATTACTAGAAACTTTGTCTACTTATATATGGTGATTTACGTTTCCATTGGTGCGACTCTGGAATCTTATTATTTGTTGTAGGAAATTCTGTTTCTGTATTTATTGTATAATATTTCTTTCGTTCTCACCATTTGATTCGATTTCAGTGAGTTCTCAGTTGATCCTTGCTCTCATGATTTCCCAAATTGGTATTTTTGGGCGTCTTCAGTTGTCACTTTGATCTGGAATTTCCGCGTTATTTCTTTTAATTTCTGGGTTTTTATTTTTTCTCACATAATAATGACATTCGATATAGTTGACACCATGTGTTACTTATAGAGCAATTTTTTTTTACTGTAAGGACCATTTTGAATTGATTTAGTAAATGTAGTGTAGGCATAAGAACTTTGTGTTGTTTTGCAGTGATTCATGAACAGTGGAAGGTGTCGTTGCTGTAACACGAAACCCAGCTTTCGGCTATCCGCTGGCATCTCTCTGAAGGTTTGTGTACTATCTTATGTGGAATTGGGATGGTATGACTTTGGATACTTACCATATATGAGGAAAGGAAAATTGAAATGTTGCATTGATTAATTAGTAGAGAACGAAAGCATTGATACTATATGATTGTGTAGATTCAGTTATGTTGATTGAGTATTTGTTGGTGCATTGCAATAAGATGCATTTTTTTCATAATAAGTTGATGTGGATGAAGAGTATAACATCATAATTCTGGGTTGTTGTATTTATATGCATTATATGATTCATTTGTTCTGCTTAACATGAGATATTTAGTACTAATTGGGCATTTCATTTTACTGAAATTGTTAGCATGGGGATCAGTTAATGGTATCTAACATACTGCTAAGGCCGCTCCATCATCTACTAGCTTGAGAAATGATGAAAGCGCCGATAAAAGAGAGGTATCCATTAACAAACCCCCCGACCTCTTTTTGTTTTAATTTAATAGCCATATATATGTAATCGCTTTAAGCAATATATTTCACTTTTCATAGAAATTGGCCGCAAAATCCAATGCGAAAGTAACCGAGAGCACACTCCCAACCAAAGTCAAAGGTATGATCTTACAAATAGTTCTTCTTTTAAGGAGAATAATATTATACCTGTCTAATTCAAGTTTTGTATCAATGTTCATTGGCTATTACCCCATGAGTGTTGCTATACGACTCAGAGAAAATATAACTATGTATTGGTGATTAGAATTATTGGCGAGAGTATCAAAAAAGCAGCGGTTGTGGATCTAATTAAATCTGAGAAGGTTCTGAAAGCAGCCCAAGAACATGGCGTCGGTATGAAGCTCATCCTCACCACTCGCCACCACTGGTCTATTTAGACTTCCTCATCCAATTTACCATTCAATGCCTCATATTCATACTGATATATATATATATATATATATTTATTTATTTATTTATTTATGTGCACACATATATTTGTTTTCGGTGTTTTAGTACTTTCCAAAAATGGATTTATGGGGATTTATATCGTAGTTGAGTACATGATGCGGATTCATATTCAAGGAAAAATGATCCTCGCTCAAGGTCTCTTTCTTGATTTGATTGATCGTTTTGCTAGGGTTTTGAGTTGTTGCAATTAGATCTTCAAATTGTATTGTAGAATTTATTAGCATAGTGGTCCTCACAAGTCACAGTCGATGTAGCACCTAATTAATCGTATCCAATGTTGTGATCTGAAAAGAAGCACTAATTAAGGGAGTAATATTTAAGGTTGAAGATAAAAGATTCGCTATAGCTGATAGCTCTAGATGTGTAATTACATAATAATTAGCTCCATAGGTTAATCCAATTTGTTGACGTAAGGAATATATTTTGACTGATACAAGTGCATGCTCTCATGGATTTCCCCCAAAGATTGGATTTTCAGTTTTTGGGAATGTTAAAAATTTAGTTTTTTGATCTTTTCTTGAAATGATATGAAATTGGAAATCCAAAATATCAATTTTTTTGACTTTGGTTCAAAATTTTGAATGCAAGAGGTCCTGTTGGTCCATTTTTGACCTTATTTTTTTTTATTTTTTCATTATATTTTGTTGTTAGCAATGAATTTATGAATGTATGAAAACAGTGGATGCCAAATTTAGGGGGATTTTGCTTAAATGAAGATACTGTAATATTAACTGAATGTACTCATACTGAATATATTCATACTTTGATTCTACCTGTTTATTGGGCAATAATCTTTTCCTGAACTACAATCTAACTATATGCTGAGTTGGAATTAGTCAAATAGGTTCTTAATCGACTGACTGGGCTTAATAGGTTTTTGGTGGCATTTTTTATGAAGATAATTTTTTGGTGGGTTTTGTGTTTGTTGTAGTGAATTTTGGGTGATTATGTTAGTGGCATTTGTATTTGGGTTCGGGCCTGATGGGGTTTGTTCTTGATGATTGGTTGTTGGTTATGAACTTAGATTCTTGGTTGTAATAATGCTTAGTTGTAATAATGCTTTTGCTTAGTTGTTCATGTAAAAATGGAACATTTTTTTAGTACATATATCATTTTATATTCGTTTAATGTTTGAACTTATGCTTATTAAGTTGATTGCAAGACTACAACTTGAAAAACTAACACATGCATATAATTTTTTGTGAAGGAACTGCAGTCCAGTGGCTGTATAGAGGAAAAGGACAACGCATGCTCTCTCTCTCTCTCTCTCTCATAGTAGCTCCGTGTTCCTCTCCCCCCAAACCTAATGGATTCGGCCCAATTCGGAGCTCCAGGTGAGATAATATTTCCCCAAATTGTATTCAATCTATGTTGCTTCATTTCATTTTCCATTTTAATTTGGAATTGTTGATATTTTAGGCAGGTATCGCATGTATAACCACAACAATTTTTGTGTTGGATTGGGGTCAAAGTGTCTAGCTTTATTAGCTATTTGGTCGCCTGTGTATTTGTAATCTGAATAATATGAATTAGGGCTTTTCTGTTAGTGTCCGATTGGTCAAGAAAGGATGCTTCTTTTTTGTTATCATGCATATTTAAGCTGTAAAGATCTGAAAAAATGCTTAATTAAAGTGAGATTTCCAGTTTTTGAGCTCAGTTTCAGGTCTTGAGCTTTGAATTTGTTTACATGTATCCCAGCTGAAGCTATGCTATTTAATCGTAGTTTTGGGGGATTTTGCTCAAAATCTGGAGAGCTCTCTCGCTTTGCTCTCTATGTAAACCCAAGAGAAATTCCATGGAAATTGTTAATGTCCGAACTAAGTCTATTTGAAATTTCAAAGTAAAACATTTATTTCATTGCTTTGTTTTTGGTATAAAAAAAATATTTATTGTTGAATAAGGACCCCTTTTTATGGATTGTTGACATATGTAAGAAATTGTTTCTGTTCTGACATATTAATTTTGCTCAATACTAATGCCATAACTGAAATTTTATAGAAATGGTGTAATTGGTCAATCAGAAATTTCGAATTTTAGCCGATGAATAAACTCTTGCATGATTGCTACTGCATACATACATATTTTTGGGTTGTTAGATTTTGTTTTTATTTCATTTTTTGCTATATGCAATTGTTGGTTTTGCAAAGGACTGACCTTTAACTTATGTAGTTTTACCTTTTTTGTTGTCAGAGTATGGGTTGGTTTTATTTAATAGATTGACTGGTATTTTTGCATTATTTGTTTTCAATAATCAGTATTCATTATTGGTTTATTGGTAATTAAAAGTTTCATCATTTTAAATTTTATTATGGATAAGTGAACACAGTTATGAATATCAACCATTTATCCTCATTCATATTCAAATATAATATGGATAAGTGAACACAGTTATGAGTATCAACGCATGCCTGAATAGCGTCCATAATGGCTGCCTTTGTTACATTATGATTTATGTTTTTTGCTATAGTGTCGAAGATGTCCTCAGAAAAAGTGAACAGCCACGCTCTCAGTCATCGAATATTGCACACCATGTTGCATATTTTTTTGTTTGAACATCTGTGCTTGACGACTTACCTGCTCAAACACCGCTTTTTCTGTGTTTTGCTAATTGCTAAGTGAGGTATGTAGGCTGCAGGGCATATGTTTTGCCATCTTAACTGCAAGGGCAAAATATGTGTGAACTGCAGCTTGCTTCTGTTTCTTCAGTTTCGTATGGAAACAGACCTCCTGCTTATTTTTGCGTTTGAACAGTTGTGGTTACAAAATTAGCTACTTGAACAAGTCCTCAACACTTTCTGTTTTTAATTACCAGTTTAAATGGCTGCCTACACTGTAGGACACATATTAGATGTGTGAACTACATGTTTGTTCTATTTCTTAAGGAAACAAAACTTCTTGGGTAACCATCTTTTCCTAATCAAAACGTTCAGTTTCTTCCTACTCATTGTACAATGTGTTTATATGTCAGCTCACTTGAATGTATAAAAACAAAACTGCTTATCTTATTGATCTATTCACTCATTTATTCCTTTGTTTGTTCATAATTGTGTTGAATTTATTCAACTTAAATGTGTTTTATTCATCCGATTACGCTTGAAACAGCTGGTTCCTGCGGCAACGCGCAGGCCTAATTTCTAGTATTCACTAAAATATCATACCACATACCACACTACTGGATTCAATTTCTCCTCTCTCAATAGCTTGTAGCATGACAGGAAGAAAAGATACACCTTACATCAAAATAAAAGCCGTTTAAACCTCCTTAATTAACCGACAAATTAAGCAGTTCAAGTTTTATTGTTGTTCAGACACTTTGACTAGAGATAGAGTTCACTAGGTAGACGTGGGCTGAGGAGAACTTCCAACGGAGTTGCTTTCGGAATGGTTAAACCAGGACTCTCAGTCAAATCAACAGACTGACCCGACGCCGTTTCAATCTTAAACCCGTGCAGCAGTCGGGCAAGCGTTAGGTGAAGAACCTGCATGGCAAACGACACACCAGGGCACGACCGTCTGCCAAAGCCAAACGGCATCAGATTAAATTGTTGCCCTCTGACGTCGACATGGCTATGGCTTTCCAAGAACCTCTCAGGAACAAAAGCAGATGGGTTCTCCCAAACCCTTGGATCCCTTTGAATCTTCCACACATTGACCACTAGCCGGGTGCCGGCTGGCACGCGGTACCCTGCTACGGTACAGTCTTCCAGAGCTTCTCTCGGTCCCAAAAGGGGCCCAGCCGGGTACAGACGCAGAGTTTCCTTGATTATGGCTTGGAGATATACCAAGTTTGTGATGTCGGATTCTTCAACCTGTCTTTCTGTGCCGACGTGGAGGTCTAGCTCTTCTTGTGCCATTTTCATGGCATCGGGATTGTTTAAGAGTAATGAGATTGCCCATGTAAGAGTTCCTGCTGTCGTGTCACTCCCACCAAGTATAAGCGCCTACAATTTCCATGTTTAATTTGTTTGAATTAAAGTAATTAAATGACAAATAATCAATTTTGAACATTAAAAAGTATGAGTTCATTACTTCCGAATCTAATAACGTGAATTTGTAATTAAATAAGTACTAAAGTATGTAGTTCATTGTGTGCAAATAGAGCGAGATTTATATCATAATATTTAGGTTACACTTAAACATGATCTAAAATCTCGGGTCACCATCAGTTAATAGCCTACGTGGTAAGTGTGTACCACATTTTTTTTTTCTTTAGTACAACGATATATTTTACACTAAGAGGAGGGAGAATTCGGCTAAACTACACAATCGGCAATCTAATTTGGTATCGAATTCACTAACCACGAGATTCAAACTTAAGACATCTCACTTACAATTGAAGAATAATACCATCAGACCGTAGTACTGAGTGGCATGCCACACTTCTAAATGGCAACCAAACACACCGGTCCCAATCATATTATCCCGCCCAATTTCGAATTGAGACAGTTTTCATCTCCCAGTCCTTAGAATCCTAAATTCTTTAGAGCTTTCAAAATTTACGTAGTAATGTGAAAAAAATTAAAATTTTCTTTCCTGTTTGCAAGCAACTGCATTAGTACATACCTCTCAAAATTTACGTAGTAATGTGATAAAAAAATTAAAATTTTCTTTCCTGTTTGCAAGCAACTGCATTAGTACATACCTCATAGCGTATTTTAAAAACTATCTCTAAACGGTACCAATAGTGTCATGCTTCTCTAGATTTAAAAAAAAAAAGACAGAAACCATACCAGACAGGTAGACTTGATGCTAGTATCTGAACTATACTGAAAATTTGAAAGCTGCCCTTCCTCCTCAAGAGACAACATGACATCAATGAAATCCTCATCACCTCCTTCATCCTCCGCCTCACCATGAGAAGCTCCTCTCCTCTGGCGGTGCTCCTCCAGCCACCCTCCGAGTATTCCATCTAACTCTTTCGCCGTCTTCTTCATCGCCTTTTCGTGCCCCTGCAAATCCAACCACCAAAGAAACGGCAGTGCATCTGCCACCACAAAAATCCCGATCAGATGAAAAAACTGTCCAATCGCCTTCTGACACCTTCTCGCCTCGTCCCCATCTTCGCATTTCGCCGACGCGCCAAAATAACGCTTTCCCGCCACCATCCTAACCACCACGTTAAGCGTCAGCTCCTCCAACCAGTGATTGAGCTCGACAACGGCAGGTCGTAAACCTCCGTTTTGGACCCACAAACTGTACAGTTCTTTTATGCCCATGTCGAGTTCTGACGTCCTGACATGTCTGAGCATATCCAGCCTTCGATTCGAGAGGAGCTCGAGCGTTGCGATTTTTCTCATCTCCCGCCAAAATGGGCTGTAGGGCGCGAAGCCGAACACGGCATAGTTGTAGCCCATGTGCTTGGCGGCCACCGTCGTGGGTCGAGAAGCGAGTGCCCTGTCGTTGACTGTGAAACAGTCTTTTGCTACTTCCCAGCTGCTCACTACAAAAGCTCGGCGGCTGCCGAGGCGGATGTTGAAGGCTGGGCCGTACTTGTCCGCCATTGCCCCAAGTGTTCGGTAAAGAAGCTGGTCTCCGCCTCCTAGAAGGTGGAGGTGGCCTATGATTGGCCATCCACCGGCGGGTTCCGGTGCTTCTCTAGACTTGGAATCTTGCACTTTTTTTTTAAGAAATGAGCGAATGAGAAAAATGAGGGAAACGAACAAACTTATGACTGTTAATTGGATAGAAAGATCCATGATTGGAATAATGTTGCGACGAATCAATGAAATAGCAAGCTCTGTTAGGTTGATTTATATACAAGTAATCCACTGGGGATTTCAGTAGGTTAGGCATAATGAAACATGCCGATTGTTGCATTGGTTACTATCTGGAGCAGTCTTTTGTTGCATTGGTTACTATCTGGGGCAGTCTTCAACCTTAATTCTGACTTTCTAGTAAAAAAACCACTAATGCTCGAATGTTGACGAATTAGAATCACTTTATAGAATGCTACCATTAGAATATCATTTAGTATATTTTATTGGATCAGGATCCTCTCCTGAGCAAATTGAGAGGATCCTCGGGTCCATCGGGCCGTTCAAAATTTATCCAACAGCTACAAACAGGGGGCTCCACTAAAAGTTATAATAATTATAGGCGTTGGATAACATTTGAACCGTCCGATGGACCCGGTCAGGAGGATCCTCTCCATTTGCTCAGGAGAGGATCCTGATCCTATTTTCTTCTCCTTGATTGCATAGGGAGACTAAATTTTTAAATCAAATTTACAAATCAAATAATGTGGTTATTGATGATTGAATTATTACTTAACGTTGATTAACGTACTTATTTTCTATTGGTGATACATCATTTGATTTGCAAATTTAGTTTAAAAGTTTGGTCTCCTTAGCATTACCCTTTGTGTAAATCCTGTATTGATATCTCATAGAGTTGACTTTCTAGAATACTATTTGTATTGTATAAACTTGTATTCCATTGTAAAAGAAAATGGCTTTTTAGGCAAAATGGTCCTTGAGATTTGTATAACTCCTAACTTTAGTTCCTGATATTTGAAATTAATAGAAGTGGTCCTTGAGTTTGTTCACCATCAATCATTTTCGTCATTCCGTGAAAAATTATGTTAAATAAAGACCTAATGAAAAAAATACACTCAATTTAATAAACAATGTGCCAAAATGATTTGACAAAACTTGAAGGTATTTTTATCACTTTATCATTAGTTAATAGAGATTTTACACGGAAAGACCAAAATGATTGATGGTGGACAAAGTTATGGACCATTTTTATTGATTTCAAATCTCAAGAATCAAAGTGAAGAATTATATCAATCTTAAGGACCATTTTGGCTAAAAAACCGAAGAAAATTAATAAAAAGAAATTTATTGAGAATTCCTTCCATGTATCTAATCCTAGCATTAGCACTCTTCAACATGGTATCAAAGCACCGTTTCCGGTGACTTTGATTGCCCACATCACCACTGTTGTCGAACCAACAAAAAACCCAAAATCAAAAGAGATGTCCACTAATGTCTCAAACCCCTTTACTTTACATTCCTCCGATCAGACTGGGGATATAATTGTTTCCTAAACACTTCAAAGAGACAACTACAATACATGGGGTCGTGCTAGGCATATTAGCTTGAGCGCGAATAACAAACTCAGTTCGGTTGATGGAACCATTGAACCTCCATCTGAAACTGACAAGCAGTTTGCATCATGGCAAAGATGCAACGACATGGTCCTTGCTTGGATTCTGAACTCCGCACTAGATAACATTGCTAGCAGCGTTTCTTTTACACATCAGCGACATATGTCTGGGCAGACCTGTGAGATCGCTTCTCACAAGGAAAAGATTTTCGCATCAATCTGATCAAAAGAGAAATCATCGAACATAGACAAGAGCAACAATCAATCTCAATTTACTACACGAAACTGAATGCACTATTGATGAATTAGCATCCTACAATGAACCGCCAACCTGCACTTGTGGGGGATTTAAAAAGATCAACGATCGAGATGAAAAAGAAAGGGTGATGCAATTTCTGATGGAACTAAACAAATCCTATGCTGCAATACGTGGACAAATTTTGCTAATGCAGCCACTCCAGACACTCGAAAATCATACTCCTTTATTCTTCAACAAGAAAAGTAAGTAGAGATATCCCTTATTCATAAAAGCATTAATTCACATGTCGTAAATACAACAAATAACAGGGAACCTGCTACACAAGCCCATCAGTCACAAAGAGGGAAAACACCTCTTCACTGTTCATATTGTGATCAAAACTACCACACAATTGAAAGATGCTATTTCCTACATGGTTTTCTGCCTGGTCACAAATACCATAGAAAAACGGTGAAGCCTCCAAACAAGAAAAAGCCTGCTGCCAACCATGCTAAGACAGGCACTGAGGCCACCAGGGATGTTGACAGAAAACACAAAGCAACATCCAGCGACAGCCCAAAATTCACCACAGAGGAGTACAACCAGATTATGACGATACTAAAAAAGAGCAACATTGACGGGTAATCTGCAACATTTTGCGAAAGCCACAGGTATAATCACACCTTCTTCTAATATGTCAGAAGTTGCCTCACATAAAACTTTATATTGGATCATCGATATCGCGACAACATACCATATATTTCATTCACCTCATTTATTAGACAGAAATCATTGTCTACATTTTAGACTTCGTTCAGATGCCGAATGGAGGATGAGCTAATATAAAATCAGTTGGTTCCATACGAGTTACTCCTCATATTAAACTCAACGAGGTGTTATATATGCCCAACTTTCGAGTCTATTATTATCTGTCATCAAGCTTACTCAGGCACTAAGATGCATAGTGATTTTCTTTCCCCATTTTTGTGTGATAGAGAATCACCACAAGCAATGATGAGGTGGCCATTTGTGATCTTAAACAATTCCTTCAAACTCATTTTCGAATCAAGGATATTGAACACTTGTAATGTTTTCATGGCGTGAGGTGGCTCGGTCTTCCTAAGGTATTGCCATCTCTTAGCGTAAATATACCCTAGACATTCTTGACGAAGCTTGTTTACTTGGTGCAAAACCTAGTTCATATTTTTAGTTTATTTATGCAACAATCGAGAAACATTGAGAGGTTATTGTGATGCGGACTGGGCTCAATGTCCCTTTACGAGAAGGTCCGTTACAAGTTATTGTATATTCCTTGGAAGTGCACTTGTGTCTTGGAAGAGTAAAAAACAATCCAATGTTTCTCAGTCCTCGGCTAAAGTGAAATATTGTCCCAACAGCTTCTGCCACATTTGAGCTTACATGGATGAAGTTTCTATTAGCGGGTTGATCATCTTGGACCAGCGAAGTTACATTGTGATCGTCAAGTTGCCTTTCAAATAGTCCCTAATCCGGTTTTTCATAAGTGCACCATGCCCTAGAAATCGACTACCATATTGTTCATAAACGGATACACTAAGGAGTTATTACAAAATCTTACATCCCTAGTGGACAGCAACTAGCTGACATATTTACGAAGCCATTTGGGCAAGCTGCATTTCAATATCTTCCTGGCAAGATAGGATGTTCATGACATTCACACTCTACCTTAAGGGACAGTATATATTTGGAAAACAATATCAATCAGTATATTTGATTCTCCTTGATTGTATGATTGGATTCATGTAAATCATTTATTGATATCTCATAGAGTTGAATTTGATATGGCATTTGAATAGAATAATAGTATTTAAAGTTTGTGTGGCTCTTTTTATTATTCATATTAATTAAATAGTATCTAACAACAACACCAAAAAAATAATTAAATAATAAAACGGGATGAAATGTGCTTGTAAGTTAACAATCAGTCACTCTTTTATTCTTAAGTTAACGCCTGACAACAATTTTAGACTTTTAAATGATGAATATGATTCACTAAAATAATGATTCTAATGTATAGCTTATAATTCTTGTGCTAAGAATCAGTTATTCTATGGAAGAAACGTAATAGTTATTTGGGTCACACACGATCATAACATATGATTCATTATAAGATATAGTTGTTGATAATTAAATTGTTATTTAAGTGTTAATTAACGTGTTTATTTCATATTGGTAACACATCAAATAATTTACATATTTGGTCTAAAAAATTGTTTTACCTAGTATTATCCTTATGTTAAACTTCATTAGGTTAAAAAAAATATTTGTAAAATCCTTTTCATTAATTTTCTAATCTCTATATATAAAAGGAGGACCCCAAAATAGTGAAACATCCAAACTACCATAAATTGTCCCTAAAGAATTATTCAAAATTACAATTGAACTAAAAGGAGTTAAAATAATTCGAGAAATATTAATATTGAATGAATTTATAATCTAAAACTTTTTGAATGAATTTGAAATTTTAAACTTTAGAAAGAAAAAAAAAATAACAAAACCCCATGTTAGTGGGTGGTTTATGTTTTTTTTTTTTTAGTACATTGATATTTTTACACTAGGCGGATGAGGAGTTTAGCTAAGTCACATAATAGGCAGCCTAATTTGGTATCTAATTCACCATCCACGAGATTCAGACCTAAGACCTCTCACTTTTAAGCTAAGAGGAATATCACCAAACTGTAGTACTTAATGACATTGGGTGGTTTATGTTTAACTTCTAATTATTTTCAAAAACATTTTTTAATAAAAAATATATAAATACAAAAACTTAAATATCTTAATTTTTTTGTGAAAAACCACCAAAAACAAAAAAAAACAAAAAAAACTTTAATTTAACATACAAAATCAAGCATGTGACAAAGAGGCCAGTAATAATTTATTAGGGGCTACATGGTCGAGGCTTCTCTAGTCTAAAGCCCAAGGCAAGGGACGTGTTTGTTTGTCAGGCCAAGAGGCCCTAAACAATTGTTATATATTTATTACTTTTTGGTTCATGTCATAAAGCCTTAAATTTGTTTCAGTTTGAGGAGAAATTTTTTAATGTATTTAGATTTTTTAGGATTGATACGCCACATGTTATAATACATGTGGATGAAGACTTAAAAAAAAAAAATTATTTCCACTTATACTTTGACATGTGGTATACCATATTCTAGCCACATGAAAAAATCTCTCCACAATGCCAATGAAAAATAGAACTACAGAAAAAGTATTTGGATTAAAAATGAGCAAAAACTCAAATACAAATGGGACCACCAGTATTTTATTTTTTTTGTTCAAAGTTACTCAGTTAGTTAAATTTATATATGCAATAGTCTTCATA